TAGGGTCACTCTAGATACCCCATGTTCAGCCTCCCACGCTTACATCTGACCCTGTAGAACTGAGAACTGTCCTCACGTGTCTGGCCAGCTGTCTGTGGATCTACTGAAGTCCACAAACATTCTTTTTTCTCTCAGTTTTCCATTTCAAAAACTGGGTCTGTTAGGCCATGGTGGTGATGCACACCTTCATTCCCAGCACTCAAGAGGCAGAAGCAAGTGGGTCTCTTGAGTTCTAAGCCAGTCTGCTCTACATAGCGAGTTCCAGGCCAGTCAGAGATACATAATGAGATGTCTAAATAAAAAGGGGGGCTCCATTAGGAACCGGGCTTCAGCCGTCCCTTTGGTGACTACTTTTCTTCCTGCTTCTGCTTGTTCTTTAGGAACAGTATGAATTCTGCTACAAGGTGGTACAGGAGTACATCGATGCCTTCTCAGACTATGCCAACTTCAAGTAACGGTGACAAGGCCACAGACAGGAGAATTGCCTTTAATATTTTGTAATATTCTGTTTTGTTAATATACCCAAAATTGTATATATCTTATAACTGTTTTAGAAATGGCACATAGGCTTCTATTACCTATTAGGTGGAGATTTTGTATGTAAATGTGTTAGCACTGATAGTGTTTTTTCCAGTGTTTTATTGGGGAATTAAATAGTGTGATATTTGGATTGATATCATGAAATCCTCAGCCTGGAAATTGGGCTGGATTATTCTTTGCTTTAAATCTTTTCCTAAAGAAGGTAAAGCTAAAACTCATTCCAGGTAGCTCGGTGCCAGCTAAAACAAAGCACAAAGTTCTCAGAGCTCTTGAGGAAATGGTTGTGTCTCACTGTCCCCATGCAGACCTCTTTCCCTCCCTGTGCTGAATATCCCTCCCCTTTCCAGTTCACGCCGTCTCCCCCTCCTACGTCCCGGTGTCAGCCACCCCCAGCACGGGGATAATGAGACCAGATCGGTTATCTCTGGTACCACACTAGGGATCATCAGGTAATAAACACTTTTGATTCCCTGAGGAAATGTTGGACCCTTTGTCTTGGGCAGGGCAGCCTTACTAGGCTGGGGCTCTCCTGGGTTGCCCCTGGCCCTGCTGTTGGCTGCTGTCTCTCAGTTCCCTAGTCCTCTTTCCTATCAAGTGTAGTCATCCCAGCCACCCACCCAGCAGTGCTCCCTAGGACAAGCAGCTAGGTTCTCACTGGATTTCTCTAAGGGAAAGGACACCAGGGCCAGAGAAGCTGGTGCAGACTTGAGCTGAGGCCAGTCTGGCCTGTCTAGTTCTACCAGTTTTTAATTGTTTTCTGGAGATGTGTTTATTTCTGTATGTAAGTGTGGGCACACACACATGCCACCCACACATGTTGAGGAGTTGGGTCTCCTTTGAGCTCGTTTTTGAGGCAGGGTATATTAATCATTTTTCTACTGCTGTAATAACCAAGGCAACTTATAGAAGAAAATATTCAATGTAGGACTCATAGTTCTTGGAGTGAGAATGACCATCATGGAAGAGCTTGGTGGCTGCAGACAGACATGGAGCTGCAGCTGGGAGCTCACATCTTCATCCACAGGGAGTGGCACGGGCTGTTGAAACCTCAAAGCCCAGCCTCAGTGACGCCCCTCCTCCAATGAGGCTGCACTTCCTAGTCCTTTCCAAACACTTCCACCAGCTGGAGACCAAATGTTTGAACATATGAGCCTATGAGGGCCATCCTCATTTTTTTGTTTGTTTTTTGTTTTGTGTGTTTGTTTTTGATAGGAGAACTGGGCTGGGATTATAGGCACTTCTAGAACCTAGGCCTAAGGCTGTCCAGGGCTATTTTGGAAGTATGATCTTATTACTACATCCAACTCTTTTCCCCCCTTTGTTTTGTTTTTTTGAGACAGGGTCTTACTTTGTAGCCTGGACTGACCTGAATCCACCCTGTAGACCAGGCTGGCCTTGACCTCATAGAGCTCTACCTACCTCTGCCTCCCAAAGTGCCCTCCCCAGTTCTTCCATTTCTGGTGCCAATATCCTGAAGATGTAATTCTCATCCCCATGATGGGAGCTAGGCCACTGCTACCAACCTGGAGTAGGAAGGCCCTCTGAAAGCAACTTCTTCATTTTTACAAACAGAAGTAAAAGGTACACTTTCTATTTTCACTGGCTACAACCTAGACCTGTAGCTACTGTCTAGGGGTATTTTGGAAATCTAACATCCACTTGATCTGACAAAGGTGGTAGATTTTCCCACACCTCACAGCACTACAAGCATCTTCCCAGCACAGCAGGAGGTGTTCCTGTTCCACAGAGGGCAAAGATGGAGAGCTGGGCATGCCCTCTGCTCCTCAGGAGCACTTCCTCAGAAGGAAGGGTGCAGCCAGCCTCGAGCGCCACCTAGAGCCCTGCCACTTAGACCACTTCATTGTCTCCACTGTCTCCTCGGCTCCCAGGTCATCTGCCATTGAGGGCAGGTGTCTCCCTAAGCTTACCTTCTTTCTCATTTGTGACAGGGATTTGAAAAGTCCCAAGTACATAGTACCATGTCCCCCTAGTCATGAACTGCCCAGAAAAGCCTCCTTTTCTAACTTCTGTCCTCAACAATTCTATCTATTCCTGTGCTTGCCACCTTAGCATGGGAGGGTCAGCAAATGGGAATACTTGCTTCCATCCCCGCAGGCCATAGAGAGGGAGCAGGAGCCTGCCAACTAGTTCTCTAGCTTCAGGTAATCAAAATGTCTGCACAGTTTATCCATTTTAGTACTAAAAATCTCTGTTATCTGCACTTACACTTAGGAACCCCCTCTCCCCCCAAAAGAAGTATGGGGGAGGGGCTAGAGAGATCTTCCAGAGACCCTGAGTTCAATTCCTAGCAGCCACGTGATGGCTCACTGGTGCCCTCTTCTGGCCTGCAGGGATACATGCAGACGGAACACTGTATACACAATAAATCTTTTAAAAAGAAGTATAGGTTGGCCTGTCCAGCTGAGGACTTCAGAGCTAGCAAGGTTAGGGGGCCTCTAGGAAATGGCTCATACCCAGGTATATATGTTCTTGGCCCAGACTGAGATCATCTAGGGTGACCATGAAAAAAATGTGCCACATGCCTCTAATCCCAGCACTTAGAAACCAGTGGCAGGTGAACTCCATTGTGAGTTTGAGGCCACCAGAGCTATGTATTGAGTCCTCTCTCAAAAATGGAGAGGGATGGGCTATGTGCAGGAATGCCAGGCTCCCTAGCCTTAAGGGCAGCCCTGCAATAGCCAGCTCCGGGCTAGGTTGGCAGAAGTGCCCTCGCTGCCACTGACCATCATGAGCCCTCAAGGGCTCAGCAGTGGTCTCATGGCTGGTACCCTCTAAGAAAGCGAGACTCCAGCTCACCCCAGGACTCCTCTGGTGTCAAGTGGGCAATGGGGTCCCCAAACTTTCAAGCAGGATATAGGCAGCCTCTGTTCCGAGAAAATGTCAGCTATAAGCCAGCCCCGGCCACTCCTAGCCTCCCAAGTGCCCTGGAAGGACAGAACATGGTCTGCTATTCTCTGCAGAATCTGGTGTTGACAATGCTTGAAGGGACAGTAGCTCTCTAGAGCATGTGGTTGGCTGGCCTCACCCTTCTTTACCCTCCCCCATTCCCTCCACCTTGAAAAAAATTGATTACATCCCTAGCTAGCCTTCAAGGCCTGTTCCCTTATGTGGACACTTTCCAATGCCAGACTCATTCCTGAATGAAGATGAGTACCAAAGTCCAGCAATCAAAAGCCCCCTTTGGAATCGGGGCGGTGGTGGCACACACCTTTAATCCCAGCATTAGGGAGGCAGAGGCAGGTGGATATCTGAGTTTGAGGCCAGCCTGGTCCACAAAGCTACATAGAAACCCTGTCTGGAAAAACAAAGGAAGCAAAACAAAAACAAACAAACAAAAAAAAAACTCCTTTGGTTCACATAATTAGCATGTCCAATCAAAATATACCACTGCATTCTAGCCCAGTCTAATACAGACCTCCCCTTTTTCTGCTCTTAAAATTTACACCTGTGGCCAGGCGGTGGCGGTGCCCGCCTTTAATCATAGCACTGGGGAGACAGAAGCAGGTGGATTTCCGTGAGTTGGAGGCCAGCCTGCTCTACAGAGTTACAGGACAGCAAAGACTTATATAGAAAAACCTTGTCTCAAAAAAAAATAAAATAAAAGTACGCCTGCAAAGTCATTTATTGCTTTTTCCTGCCTGAGTCAGAAAGCAGTCACTTTCTTCCCTGCTTAATAGAGGCTCTCGCTCTCTCCCTCTCCCTGAAAAGAGGCGTTTGGGTGTGTATTGTGCCTAACCCGGGTTCTGGGAGTAAACTCCTGCTTGGGGGAGGAATGGGAGTCCTCCTTCAATTCTGATGAACTGTTTATTCACTTGCAGAGGGAAAAGTACTAAAAAGCTTAATAAGAGTAGCAGCTGAGTCCCTCAGGTTTCTTGACAGTCGAGCCAGTATTTCCCAATGTGGGCAGGCCCTGGGTCAGGTTGTAGGGGACAAGGATCACCTCACACAAGCCGCCCACCATGAGGTCACTGATACTGAGACTCTGGCAACTGCAGAGCTGCCCAAGACCACAACAGGGCAGTGCAGAGCAAGGAAATGGTTTGTAATTTGGAAATCTAAAGTCTACAGTGCACCTGAAAAGCGCTTACTAAAAGACGAAGTGTGAGCCTAACTTACGTGGCTATAAGCTCAGAATTTCGTGCATCCGGCCTGAAAGTGTAAGCAGACCGCCCGCCAGAGAGCCGCAGAGCCAAACGCTTGGGGGCCGGGCCGTGGCCAAGCTTGTGAACTGGTTGGCGGAGCGGCCGGCGGTGAGCGGGTCACTCGCGAGCGACGCAGCCCATCAAGCAGTGACGGTCAGGGCTCTTCGCCCCTCCCACCCTACCGGAGACTCCCAGGAGGCCATGGGCCAGACAACAAAAGCTCCGCCTTACGGGGGCGTGGCCACGAGGCCGCGACTCCCGTGGTGCTCCGCGGCCACTGACGGACTAGGCCTGGAGCTGGGCCCCGCTGTCATGTTGCGCGCTCTGAACCGCCTGTCCCCGCGGCCCGGGTGCCGGCCCTCAATCGTGCTGCTCCTGCCCGCGCGCGGCCGCAAGACCCGCCACGACCCGCCTGCCAAGTCCAAGGTCGGGCGCGTGAAAATGCCGCCCGCAGTGGACCCTGCGGAATTCTTCGTGTTGACTGAGCGCTACCGGCAGTACCGGCTGACGGTGAGCGCCATCAGGTGCGTGTGAAGGGCAGGCGGCCTTCGGCACCCTGGGAAGTCTTGGGGAGGGAGGATGGGTGCCGACTTGAAGCCCATCTTCACCCAGGCGGGAGTTCGTATCGGAGGTGCGAAAGAAGGCGTACGAGGCTCGATCCGGGGTCCTGGCCGAGCGCAAGGTGCAAGAGGCCGCCGCGGAGCACCGGGAGCTCATGGACTGGAACCGGGAGGAGAACCGGCGGCTGCAGGAGCTAAGGTGCGAGGGGCAAAGGGTTGGGTGGGCTGGGCTCAGGACCCTGGCTCAGGTATGGGCCCCTTCACCCACGGCTTCTTGCGCTTTTCAGGATAGCTAGGTTGCAGCTGGAAGCACAGGACCAGGAGCAGCGACAAGCCGAGGACCAGGCCCAGCGGGCCCGGGAGAAGCAGGCGTGGGTGCAACTGAAAGAGCAAGAAGTGCTCCAGCTGCAGGTGGGCCGAGGTTGTGGGAGCGCGGGCGTGGGAGACTCAGAGGCCAGTGCTGCTGGCAGTCTTCAAGCCCGCACAAGGAGGGTGCATTTGCCCTGGCAGGTGACTGTCAGTGAAAGGCTATAGGCTTGTGTTGCCTGGTGAAACTGGAATTCAGGGAGAGCCATAACTGAGACAGTGAAACCTTTTTCAGTGTAGAAGGGAATGACAAGCTTGAGAGGAGTCCACCCCCTCTAATCAGGCTGTCACAATTACTTCTTGAGTTCTGACTGAGATCTGGTGGGTAATGGACTGGCCAAGAAACCGGGATATCCAGCCTGGTCTACAGAGTGAGGTCCAGTACAGGCTCCAAAGCTACACAGAGAAACCCTGTCTCAAAAAAAAAACCAAAAGAGAGAGAGAGGGAGAGAGGGAGGGAGGGAGGAGAGAGAGAGAGAGGATAGTTTAGGACACCTAGTACTGTTCTGTTGGAAGAATGGTGCTACACTCAAAAAGGCCCGGTGTTGTTCTTTGCTGTAGCTATGGGTGATGAAACATGATCCACCAAATTCAATAAGCCCACATGGAGTTTATTTGGAAAGGGATCAAATGGAGGGGAGCAGAAATGTGCAGGAGGCGCTTGCTTACATAGGGAATGTGAATGGTTTAGAAGAGTCTCAGCAGTTGAGGCCTTTGAAACTGGAGTCATGGAGCTGCCTTTGGCCCAGCTTCGAGCAGCCCCAGATCCACATGGCTTCTGCACACAGAGCCCTTGTGCAGCCACCTAATGTATGCACAACACAGCTATGCAACCTTTGACAGCTGTCAGTGAAGAGCGATCACCTGTCCAAGATCGTCAAATATGGACCCTGGGTCGAATGAAGGTAGCCCAGAGAAGAGTGTTCCCAGGCGGGAGAAAGCCCAAGGATTAGAGAGGCCAGGAAAGGCTCCCCAAAGTGAAAGGCCCAAGAGAGGGCTGGGGCAGAGTGGCAGGCAGGTGCTGAGGAGAAAGCATGGGAGGGACAGGGGGGGGGGGGAGTTAGGCACAGGAACAGGGCCAGGTTGCCCAGGGAGAGGGAGAACCCAGGATATCAACACCTGGAACTCTGAGACACCAGACACCCTTCTTTAAGGATACTTGGAACCTCAGCCCTCCTGGGCTAGAAACAGTAAGCTGTGCAGACTGCTGCCTCTGGGGGAGTTGCCATGTAGCTAACTAACCTTTCTCTTCCCATAGGAAGAGGCAAAAAACTTCATTACTCGTGAGAACATGGAGAAACGGATAGAAGAAGCATTGAACTCTCCGAAGGACTATAACTGGGCCATCACCAGAGAAGGGAAGGTGGTCAGGAAGTGAGCACAGAGGCTCCTAGGGGCCCAAAGTAAGGACAGTGCTTACCAAGGAACCATGTGTGTTGGAACAGGAACAGCACCCATTCATTCTAGGTTCTGCACTCACCACCTGATTGGAAATTGTTCTGACACCACATATAAACTCAGGACAGCATGAGACTCTGGGAAGTTCCTACTACACAGGATCAGTCTGGACTATATCCCTTCTAGCAGCCAAGCTATCTTCTGAGTCTTGTGGGATACAAATGTTTGCTGCTTTTATAAATAAAGGTTTATTGAAACCCACTCTTGCCCATTCACTGACTGTAGTTATAGTGCTGTGGTAACAGGATTAAGTACTTAGAGCAGCCTAAACTGCTTGTAAAAAATATCAAAGGCATTTGTTTAAGTGGTTTTTTTGTTTTGTTTTTTGTAAATTAAGTTTATTTGTCCCTGAATTTTTGCGTATTTAACTTACTAGTTAAAAGCAAGTTTCACCTAACTGAACCATAACTTAGTTTCTTCCTTTGCTAAGTCTTGAACATTGCTGACTGGGGTCTGTTGTGTCCAAGATCAAGAAAGCAAAAACGATACTCTGTTTGTCCTGGTAGTGGTTTCTGTGACATGCTGCTGTCCTCATAACAATGTCACTGGATTACTGACCAGGTTCTACTGTCTTGGAAAACATGATTGCCCATAAGTGACTTAATGAAGCTCTTTGAGTTCCAGGAATAGTAAACACTCTGATAGTACAGATCCACATTCAGCTGTAGGCCCTCCAGCAGCACGTTTCTTCCAGCCAGTTGCTGCCCTTCAGTGTGTGTGTGAGTGTATGTGCACAAGTGTGTGTGGGGGTGGGTGGGTGTGTGAGGGTGTGTGCACAAGGGTGTGAGTGTGTGTGTGAGTGAGTGTATGAGTATGTGTGAGTGAGTGAGTGTGGGTGTGTGAGTGTGAGTGAATGTGTGAGTGAGTGTGGGTATGTGTTGGCCAAAGTCAGCCAGCCTAGGTGTCATCCCTCAGGGCTCTCACCTTGGTCTGTACCTTCAGTTTGTTTTGTTCTGTTCTTGAGGCAGGCTCTTTCTCTTTCACTAGAAGCTGTGGCCAGCTTCCCCACAGAGTCCATCTGTCTGCTTGCCTGGCCCTGGGATTGCATGCACATGCCATTATGTGTGGCTTCCATGTGGTACCAGGGATCAAACCCAGACATTTTTACTACAGTGGATGCTCTTCAGGGGCTGAGCTGCCTCCCCGACTCCTCTTGCTGCCTTTCCACTGTCATTGCCATAAACTTGGATGCCACTGACCTGAGATCAGACGCCACCCAAAGAAAGGGATCCCACAATTCTGAGGGCTATGGGTGCCCAAGAAGCTTCGGGGGACTATGCCAGCCCCCTTTTCCAGTGAAGAAGCAGGAGTTAAGGTGCAAAGTAGAGGTGCTGCCCTGCACTCACCCCCTGGGAGACATGACCACCACCCCCACTGGTCAAACACAGTGAGGTCCTGCACTCAGATATCTGAGGTAAGCTGATGGAATCCTGTCAGGAGCAACTTTGTCCATGCCTGACTTTGTTGTCACAGTGAGAGGTTGACCTGGACCCCAGGAACTCTGCTCAGTTGCTCAATGGGTGACCCTACCACCCCTGCCCAGGAGCTGTCTCCCCAGTCAGACTCAAGCATTTGAGTCCAACTCTGAGGCTAAAGCAGCATGATCAGTGAGTTCTGGGGCTGAATGCTGTGGTCATGGCCTTCCTTCGGGGCTCGGGCAGATCACAGAGATCCAAAGGAGGCAGCCTGGAGATGTTCTCTCGGTAGAGTGAGCTTGCCTGCTGTGCTCAGGCCCTGGTTCAGTCCCCAGCCAGCACTGCATAACCCTGCTTTCCGGAGGTGAAGGCAAGAGGACCAGTAGAGTTCCAAGATCAGCCTCAGCCACATAGGGAGTTTCAGATCAACCTGGCTCCTCCTGAGACTCCAAAAGCTGCCCAAGAGCTCATCAGGTAGACAGGAGGTGAAGGCGCCCAGTAGGAGAGTCAAAGGCTGGCAAAGCTGCATTGCCAGCTCAGTAGGGGTCGGGCCTTTGTCAGTCTGTTTCACCTAGGTCTTATGAAGGACCTAGGTCTAAACCTAAAGCCCTTGCTCAGTTTCTCCAGGGTACACTTTCTCCTGAAGGACAGGTGTCCAACGAGTCCCTGTGACTTTGCAAGAACAATTAAACTTGGTGAGTAAGCCTATTGAATGCTAAAAAATGAGTCTGGCAAGAAAAACAAAAGTCAAATTTGGAATTATTTTTTTCTTGCCAAAGAAGAAGTCAAAAGCAATATTTCAACCCCAAACCTGGCCAGTCTGGTGATGCTGGCCATCTCCTCTTTGGATGCTGTAACACATATATTCGACACAGGTAAATCTATCAATACTAAGTGGAAATTTAAATGTTTATCCTTGTCAAGGAACAGAACCAGATCCCTGCCTGGCCCAGCTTCAGCGTTAAATCTATCATCCTTTCTTTTGCTTTCCTGTTTTCCTGAGACAAGTTCTTTCCCTGGTTGTGCTAGAGCTCCATAGCTCCATATGTAGACTACACTAGGCTCAACCTTAAAAAAAAAAAAAAAAATCCATCTCTACTATGGGAGCACATTTCCCATGGATACTACCTTAGCCTAGAGGCAGGAGAGAGGGCCTAGACCCTACTCCAAATGACTTGACAGATTTTGATGATCCCTCCTGGAAGGCATCACCTTCCCTGTGGAATGTATATATTTCCTCAAAATGGAAATATGTTACATTGGGGTAGGGGTTTCCCATTTGCATCTACAGAAGAAAAAAAACTATGGATACCATCTAAGTTAATCAAGATCCGAGTTGAACAAGAGAAACATCTTAAAAAGAAATGACAAGTCATACAACAAATTAGGTCCCATGGTTTATGCGGAGACCTCTCAAAGGTAGGGGAAGTTTTCTGTTCTTGTCTTTACAGGAAAACAAAGAACACCCATCTTCAAACAGCCAAAAGACACTGAACATGTAGGAACCTACATTAGAGAAAACAGCTCTCCAGAAAGAATCACTTAATGAAGAGGAATCTGATTTATGGTAAAAATATAATTCTAGTAAACTATTTCTATATAGAAATCTACTTCTCTTTACTATCTAGTATTCCTGTAGTCCCAATTCATGTAAACCAATGCTGGCTTTGGAGTTGGATTTGGCTTTCCTTCTCTAAATTCAAGCATGTTAAGATTAAATTCACAGTTTCTGCTTTATATCAAAAAGCCAATTGGTGTAAAGCAGAAGAAAACAAAATCTGGGGACTCATTTCACTTATATGCAATTTTCTCTCTGAAATCCTAATTTTATCATATGCATTTTAATGCTTATTGCTTCCTTTCCCTAATGCATACCTTAAAACTTGAAAATTTTACTTTGATATTGATGTTTAAGTTTTCCTCAAGGAATAATAACAATTCCTAACAGTAAGCTTTGAACTCTCCGGGAAGAAGATGGGGACCCACGTTGTCATTTCCACTTGACTCAACCTGATGCATCTGGACAACAAACATCACCCTAAAACCAGTTTGAGACTGTTTTGCTCAAGACAACTCCTGACTAGCTAGCTGTAATGGTGCACCTTCTTATTACACCCTGGCCAGAGTTTCAAATAGAACTACAGTCAAGCATTTCCTGTCACACAGTGACTAGCTACATATGTCACAGCCAGTTCTGTTGAGAAATTTGGTTGCTAAAAATTTTCTTCCTACTGGATCCCATGGAGCAATCATCATCCCATTTCAGCAGGAAGTATCCTTAAGATGATGACGCCCCCTTTCCCCACTCTTGTAATTTAGGGATAATATTCATCTTCTTTGGGTTGATGTTAGTTACTTAGGGTTGGGTATGGAAGGTGACACGTAGACTCGGGTTTATCTTTTAGACAGGAATAGGGTATGGTTGGGAAAGTTATGGTTTTAGGTAGATTAGCCTATCTTCTTGTGAATTATTTAGTAAGAGTGAGATATTAGTATTATACAGCTTACATTGTTATATATTCTTATTTGTGTAACCTATGTAAAATTAAGTTTATATTCCCTTCCCAGAAGAATTGTATATGATATTTTTGTCATATTATGTAAAATTTTTCCATTTATGATGTTTTATGCACATTATCCTTACCAATATTCTATGTATGTATACTTTGACTTATGTTCAAGACATTTTCTATATTGATACATACATACATACATACATACATATATATATGTATATATATATATATATGTAGGTGGATATTCACTTTTTCTCCTTCTGTGGCACTGACCACACCTATTGGGGGGGTAGAGCCAGGGGAGGAAGTGACCTATGGAACTAGGACTGAGGAGGAGCCAGGGAATGCTCTCTTGCTGTTAGGACTGGGAGAGGAGAGCATCCGGTGGAACCTGCTGGTGTTCATCTGTCTAGGTTGTAAGCTATTTCTCCCTGAATAAACATCTATTCGGCCTATCTGTTTATCCTGATCCTTATTAAACCACAATAGGGTTTCACTGTGTATCTGTCCTGGAACTTACTCTGTAGACCAGGCTGGCCTTGAACTCACAGAGATCTGCCTGCCTCTGCCCCCAGAGTACTGGGATTAAGGACGTGTGCCACCATCTCCTGGCACACTATTTTAAACATGTGAGTGGTCCTGTGATTTATAGCTGCAGGGAAATGGCTTTTGTCCACAATCACCAAGCTCCAGTAAAGAATTCATACCTGCTGCCTGGCTTCTTCCTGAGACCATGAGTAGAGAAGGCCTGCAGAGGCTCTGCCCCCATAACTGCCATGATACATGGATATTACTGTAAGAGGCTACCTTTGTGTTCACTTGTCCACCAAGTGGTATCTCTCCTCTCCTCAGAGTACTCACAGGTCACCCTAAGGGGATGACAACAGATGCCATCTTCCTTTCCACAGCATTTTCCGATCCTCCACCTGCACAGCTTGGATCTGGAAACCAAGTAGGGTGGCGACAGGAAGGAGGACAGACACACACAGAAAGGCTGGGCTCGGGGGAATGTTTGCAGCAACCCAGGCCTCAGCATGTTCATAATGCACAGTGCAGGGGGGAGAGGCAGGCTAGAGCATCTCTGTGGGCAGAAGTCCCGGTGTAAAACACCTGGGAGGAGGCTGCGGTTTCTGTTGACTAAAGCACACGCTGGTCAATCCTCTGAAAGCACTGGCACACACTGTCATTTCACCAGACCACAGGAAGGCTTTTCCGAAACCCTATTCACCTCAGCCCCCCCCCAAGTGGGGGCGCTAAATTGTCATGCAAACAGTACACATTCACTCAGGGCTTCATCAGCTCTCCTCAGGGGATCCCGGCATAGACCTTGTTTTAGCATTCAGCATGCTGGTGACTACACCAGGCCTCCCAGCAAGCACAATCTGACCCTGAGTATGTTATGCTTACTTTTGTTTCCCAGGGTGGCTTTTAATTCTTATAGCAACACCTCTGACAATTTTTAACTTGTAAAAACAAAAGGCTTAACTTGGTGGGTTGTGAGATAGTATCTCATAAACTCCTGCATGGCTTTGAACTTTCTTTTAGCTGAAACTGGTTTTGAACTCCTGATCCTCTTGTACATTTCCCAACTGCTGAGATGACAGGTGTATGCCTTAATGCCTGGAAGAAAGGGTTTATCTTGGCTCACAGTTTCAGAGGTTCCAGTCCATGACCCCTTGGCCTATTGCTTACAGGTCTATGGAGAAGCACACTTCATGGTAGGAGCACATGGAAGAATTAACACCTTCAAATCATTGCTGAGAATATAATAGTAATAATAATAAAAGATCTAGAAGGGACCATACCTCCTTCAGGGGCATACCCTTGAGGACCTAATGGCCTTCTGCTCGGCCTCTTTGTTAGTCTCCCCATCTCCCAATACACCTTCCTAAGGACCTACAATATAAACAATGCCACAGGCTTCTTATTTCACTTTTTGCCTCCTTCCGTGACATATGAAACCCATGGGGGCAGAGATTTTTCTCCTGGTGCTGACAGGGTACCCAAGGATTCATGTACACGACCTTGCACAAATCTAGACAAGTTTCTCCATCTGAGCTGCAACCCCAGCCCAGGACAGGGTTGTGTCTGCTGTTTACTAGTGTCCCATGCACAAAGAAGTTGGAGAGCACATGAAGGCACGCTGGCCTTAGGAAAGCATTATGTGAGTATTACTATATGCTAATTTATTGCATACATTACCTCAGATGAGATCACTGTGCCCACAGAGTAAGTGGGAGGCCTCTCTGGGGCCATTAGGGGTCAAGCTCTTGGCCTTCTATGCCAAGAATGGCAATAAACTAATCTGGATCAGAAATGAGCAGATTGTAATGCAGGTCAACCTGACACCACCTCAGCGGCTGAAAGCTCACACAGTGACTCAGGATCTGTGATTTGGTTGAATGAGATCTGTGACATGCTTTGCCCCCTTGGCTTCAGTTCCTTGTGGAGGAGGTTAACCGTTAAGACAGAGACCCTGGGGGCTTTCCCATTCTCCCTTAGGGCACAGACTGCATGTGGTGGGCTGGTGTCTGGGGCTTTGGCTGCCATTTCCTCCTGGATGCTGCAGGTCACTTCCTAAGGAAGGAGCCTGAGACAGAGTGTAACCACAGGCCTGGGACTCACCTCTAAGAGAGAGAAGGGATGGATGAACAGAACCACCCTGCAGAATTCAGCTGACCTACAGACTAAAGGTGAAATGTAGTTAGAGGTGTCCAACATCTGTAACAAAATGGACAAACCATTGTATGTGGCCACTTGAAAAGGGTCACGGCCGGGTGGCTTTCTGCACCTGAGCAGATTGTTGCCCATAATCCAGCAGCTGATGGCAAACATTCTCTTAAACAGGAGTCTAGATGCCTAGCATGGTGGTGTATGCCTTTAATCCAGCACTTGGGACACAGATCACTGTGAGTTTGAGGCCAGCCTGGTCTACAGAGTAAGTTCCAGGCCAACTGCTGTGGAAACCAGTATGGCCATTTCTCAGAAAATTAGAGACCTACCCACCTCAAGACCCAGTGATACCACTGATGGGCATGTACCTAAAGAAGGCACATTCACACCACAAGGACATTTGTTCAACTATGTTCATAGCAACATTATTTGTAAGAGCCAGATTTTGGAAGCAGCCTAGATGCTCCTCAACAGAAGAATGGATAAAGAAAATGTGGTACATTTACACAATGGAGTACTACTCAGTGGTAAGAAACAATGACATCCTAAAATTCACAGGCAAATGGTCAGCACTAGAAAGAAAAAAAAACATCCTAAATCAATTAACCCAAAACCAGAAAGAGAAATATAGTCTGTACTCACTCATAAGTGAATACCAGACAAAAAGCAAAATCTATAACCCCAGAGAAGCTTGAATCCTCTTCCAGATGCAGAAATCTACAACTAACCATTTGACCAAGCTCCTGGAATACAATTTAAGTGAGGGAGGAGCTAAAATATGAACAAAGAAGTCAAGACCATGATGGGGAAACCCACAGAATCAGCTGACTCAAGCTCGTGAGAGATCACTGACTCAGGTCTGACAAATGGGGAACCTGCATAAGACCCAACTAGACTCCCTTAATATAGGTGACAATGCACCTCCAGAGAAGCCAGGAAACAAGAAGGACCCTAAAAGAGACACACATGGTCCCTGGAGAATGAAAAATGAGCAACAGAACCTGAGCATATTGGGAGCACAGGGCTGAGGGTTGGGAGAGGTGGTAGAAGGAAGAGGAGGGAGGAGAAGAACATGAGGGATCAGGAAGTTTCTGTGAGGGGAATAATAGAGCAGAGTAAGAAAAGAGATACCTTAATAGAGGGAGACATTATAGGTTTAAAGAAAACTCTGGTGCTAGGGAAATGTCCAGAGATCTACAAGGATGACCCTCAACTAAGAATCTAGGCAATAATGGAGAGGCTACCTCAAATGCCCTTCCCCTATGAGATTGATGACTACCTTATATGCCATCCTAGAGCCTTCATCCAGTAGCTGATGGAAGGAGAAACAGACACCCACAGCAGCTAAGCACTGAGTCAAACTCCTGGAATGCAGTTGTAGAGAGGGAGGAAGGATGGGCAAAGAGGTCAAGACCAGGCTGGAGAATCCCATAGGGACAGCTCACCTGAACAAGGGGAGCTCATGGACCCCAGACTGACAGCTGGAGAAACAGCATAGGACGAAACCAGGCCCCTGAGCTTGGCTTTCAGTTAGGAGGCCTGGGCAGTCTCTGGAGCCTCTGGCACTGGAACCAGTATTTATCCCTAGCGCACAAATGGACTTTGGGAACCCATTTCCCATGGAAGGATACTCTTCAGTCTACACAAATGATGTGACAGACTTTGAGGATCCCCCATGGAAGGCCTCACCCTCCTTGAAGAGTGGATGGGAGGTGGGATGGGGGGATTGGTAGGGAGCATGGGAGGACCAGAGGAAGAGGGAACTGGGCTAGATAGGTAAAAGAGTATTTTTTACATATGTTATGTATTACATTTACAGAATGAGGAAACCTTATTTCAAAACAAACAAACAAAAACAAGAGTCCGGGCAATGCTTCTCCTTCCTTTAAAAGTTTTTTCTATTGCTTTGCTTTGTCTTATGTGAATGCATGTCCTGCCTGCATGTATGTGTGCTCTATGTGTGAGCCTGCAGTTCTGATGAGGCATGGGCTCCACCAGAATCAGAGTTAACAGATGGTCGTGAGCTACCACGTGGGTGCTGGGACTGAAACCTGGGGCCTCTGCAAGAGCCGCTCTCAACACTGAGCAAATCCCCAGCCTCAGGAAGGGAAGATGGTTAGGACTGGGACCCAGCAGATGACCATCAGGTACTGAGGCATGCCCTACAAGGGAGCAGTGACACTTTTGTCCCTCCTGGGGACCTGCATTTTATTTGTCAGCTATGAAGAAGAGGAGTTGAGTCTTCCATGCCTCCCTGCCATGATGATTTTCCTTTTAAACACAAAAATACAGGGGCTTGAGAGATGCTCACTGTTTAAAGTGAACACTGCTCTTGCAGGGGACTGAATTGTGCTCCCAGGCCCCATAGAAATGGACCCACAGCCCCCTCTAAGTACAGCTCCTGGTGATCCAACGCCCTCTTCTGGCCCCCAAAAAACCCTGCACACACAAACAGACACACTAATAAAAATGAAAATTAAAAGTGTAATGCAAAACTTCCCAAAATGCATTTCTGCTATTGTGCTGGAGTCTAGACCCAAGGTCTCTCATACACTAGGCAAGCTGTCCACTACTGAGCTGCTTGCAACATCCTTCCCTTGCAGACTTCAGCAGACCTACAGCTCAGAGCTGAAACAGCCAGAAGTGCCCAGTGTTGGTACCAAAGTGAACCAACCATGTATGTGTCCCACTGGGAAGGGATGGCCTCAGGCCAGGTGGCTCTCTGCACCTGAGGCCACATGTTGGCCACACTCCAGCAGATGATGGCAAATGTTTCCTCCAACAGGAGTCTAGGCACCCGGCATGATGGTGAATAACTTTCATCTCAGAACTTGGGAGCCAGAGGCAGGTGGATCACTGTGAATCCAAGGCCAGGCTGGTCTACATGGAGAGTGCTAATGCAGAGTTTTCAATACAAACAAGTTTTCTTTCCGTTCCTTGTGATCTTTCTTTCTTTCTTTTATTTGGTTTCTTTGTTGTGTTTTAGTTTTGACCTCTTGATATTTTGTCTTACCATGTAGCCGGAAGACCTCTATTGATATTTTGTCTCACCATGTAGCACGAAGAAGGACTGAACTGCATGTAAAGGTTGAAGGAAGGTGTGGTCTTTTTCCCCATCCAAGTTTCAGGGACAGTAAAGACTCCCACATCCTCTCTCTCTACCCTGAGGTACAGGACATCTGTGAAAATAGCTCCAGGCTAGGCTGTGCATCCAGCCCCAATGCCCCCCCCCCCAGTCCTCTCCATCTTGTTGTAACTGAGGCCACCCCTACCAGGCGCTTACATTTGGAGCTCCAGGCCATTAGCTGAGGTGGTGACCTTGACCTAGCCTAGACCCTGCAAATGAAGGGGCTGCCTCTAACAGTGAGAGATGATTTGACCCTCAGTGACCTGCTGAGACCAGTCATGCAGTCTCCCTCTTAAGACAATCCTCCGCCAAGGCAGAGCCCAGACATAAAAAGGTCGGGCTGGCTGGAAAAACCATCACCTCTGCTGTGTGGTGGACTCAGAGCACCAACGCCATGGCCAGCCCCAGTCTCGCTTGCTGCCTGCTTTGCCTAGTGGCTCTGGCCTCTGCCTGCTACATCCAGAACTGTCCCCTGGGCGGCAAGAGGGCTGCACTGGACATGGACATTCGCAAGGTGAGTCTCCCCCATCTGGTCCGGTTCCAGCAGCCCTGAGGAGCACAGAAGACACCCACCCTCAGGGAGAGAGCATCCTGTACTCTTGCCAGCCCTACCCCAACCTCGCCAGGGAACACATGGCGTCGGGAAGAAATAGGCCCCCTCTTGAAGCCTTCCCTGAAGGCAGAGACAAAGCCCCAGCTCCAACTCTCCCTTGTCCTGCCACTGTCCCTTTACCGGACCGTGGCCACCAGAACCGGAGCACTGTGCCTACTGGCGTCCTTCCCCGCAGTGCCTCTCCTGTGGACCTGGTGGCAAAGGGAACTGCTTCGGACCAAACATCTGCTGCATCAACGGGCTGGGCTGCTTCATCGGTACCCCGGAGACTCTGCACTGCCAGGAGGAGAAACACCTGCCCACACCCTGCCAGTCCGGTGGGAAGCAGTGCGGGACCTGGGGCCGCTGTGCCACCCGGGACATCTGCTGTACACTGAGTAAGCAAAAGGGGTCTTGTAGGACCACACCGCAGGGAGCCTTCTGGTTTGCCACTCTGCCCACTGACCCATTTTTCTTGCAGATGATTGCTACGTGGACCCTGCCTGCCACCCTCCTGAGTCTGCCTTCTCTGAGAGCTGAGCCCACTGGCGATACCTTTAGACTGCATCCTTCACTTCCCATGGCCATCGCCAGAAAGAATGACAAATAAAGCAGATTTCCTCTTCAAACTTGACTGGTGTCTAAGTGTCAGAAACCGGGGCGGGGGAGGGGTGGGAAGGCATCGGGATCCATGGGCCCTGGCAATTCAGAGCAAGAACAGCCCAACAGGCTAGGCTGCTGCAGGGACAGAGGACAGAGGACGGTCACCACCCACCCTACAGGTTAGCTCCACATTCCACTCCCTGGGGGGGGGGGTGGCCTGCAGCAGACAGACTTAAGAGCAGCATTTGAAAGTCTGAGCTGCACGGGTGGACGTCAGTGCAAAAATACAGGCTGGAAAAGATACGTGAGAGGGGAAGAATAAAGGGCTCAGACAGGCAGAGGAGCTCATCCAGGCTCGTCCTGATCTGAGATTTTACCACAACCTCAGACTTGAGGGGCAAGCCTGGCCTAGAAGAAAGGGTCTTGGCCAGGGGATGGTAGTTGCAGAGACATCAGGTTTCCCCAGAGCTGGATTCTCACACAGGCCTCAAGGAGGCCACAGCTGGAAAAATCGAGAACCGGCAGACCTCTCCTCTGCTGACTTCAGGTGAGGCACCTGAGCTCAGGGACCCTGCTTCTGCCTCTGCAGGACAGCATTCTCTGGGACAGCATGGCATCTAAGAGCCTGTGGGCACAAATGACCACAAAACTTAGAGCTGGCTCACAGGCAAACAGGGAAACCCACAACCTATAGTGCTCATCTATTGCTGGAGTAAACCCCCCCAACCCCCCCAACCCTCCCACCCTCCCACCCCCCCACCGCTCAGGAACCATGCCTCACTTAGCTGCCTGTGTCCTCAGCAGCCAGGGCAGAAAGTGCATTCCCTTCTCCACTCCCACTCAGGCTCACCTGATGCATTGTCTGTTGGAATAAAATGTGATGGCTTGGGTGGAGCCAGTGGTGGACATCTGGCCCAACAAGTGTAACCCCTGGACTCCATGCCATCACAGCAAGTAAATAAACACACAAACGAGCACTTTCTGTGGGCCGCACACCCAGCAACTGAACACACACGACCCATGTCACCATACATCAGACTCACAGACAGAGTGGAGGCCAAAGAGATACATGAAAGAGACTTCAAGACTGATTTGTTGTTTCTTATGTTGTTGTTTTCGTTTTTTCTGGGCTGGGTTTTGAAGATTTTTTTTTTTTGCTTTGTATATTATGCATACAGTGTTCTGCCAGCATGTTTGCCTACATGTCAGAAGAGGGCACCAGACCTCATCATTGATGGTTGTGAGCCACCATGTAGTTGCTGGGAATTGAACTCAAGACCTCTCAAAGAGCAGCTCATGTTCTTAACTCCTGAGCCATCTGTCCAGCCTAAAATCTGATGCATTACATTTCCTCATTTCTTTATTGTGTTGGGGGAGGATGGTGCACACAAGCCACAGGCTGCACGTGAAAGGCAGAACTCTTGTTCTGTTTGTATAAAGCCCCTTGGCTTCTGGAGGCTGCAGAGGAGACAAGCATTTACTGTGACCTCTAGAAGTGCCCTTGAGTGGTTCTGTAGTTGGGTAAGTGACTCCCTGAAGGACAGACAGAGAGAACAGAAGGTCCAGCAGGTAGAAATAATTCTTCTCCTTGAGGAACAGGAGAGTGATTCTTCTAGAAGCAGGTTGGGGAAAGAGGTGTTACAGTTCTCCACCTAGACAGGGGATTGGATGAGGGGTCTCAACCTGATCCTGAAGCTGCCTGTAGACCAGCCCTAGGAATCAAATCAAGTGTAGCCAAGCTATCGGCCACTCTTACCTACTTCTATCATTCTGGGTCTGGGCCTTTCCTTGGCCATACCCCAGTGAAGGTCAGACCCTGAGAGGGCCCCATAGCAAGGAGGCTGGGCTAGGAGTCTGCCTGGCCCCACCCCACCTGGGTAAACCCAGCATGCAGACACACTTGACTGCTGAGATGGGAGGCAGTATGGAGTAGGGCACCGTGACTCTGTCCAGGGCTGACCACGCTGAGTCACCCGGTCAGGTCACTCAGAGTGAACTCTGTCTTCCACAGTCACCCCTGACCTCAGGTCCTGTAGAACATCCCAATTTGGGATCTTTAGCTTACTAGGCAGAAGCAAGTGTCAGTTAACTGAGCTGGAAGTTAGTTACCTTCTTTGCTCAATCCTGAACACTGTGTGCAAAATCCAGAAAGCAAACGAATAACCTGTTTCTCCTGGTAACTTTCCAGGAGTAGTTTCTGTGACAGGCCCCCATCTTGATACAATGTCACAGGAGTACCCGTCAGGTTCACTGTCTGGGAGTCCTGGTTACCCATAAGTGACTGGGGTTAACAAAGCTCTTTGAGTTCCAGGAATAGTAAACACTCTGATAGTACAGATCCACATTCAGCTGTAGGCCCTCCAGCAGCACGTTTCTTCCAGCCAGTTGCTGCCCTTCAGTGTGTGTGTGAGTGTATGTGCACAAATGTGGGGGGGGGGTGAGGGGGTAGGTGGGTGTGTGAGGGTGTGTGCGTGTGTGTGTGGGGGGTGGATGGTGGATGGGTGTGTGAGTGTGAGTGTGTGAGTGTGAGTGTGTGAGTGTGAGTGTGGGTGTGTGAGTGTATGGGGTATGTGTGAGTGTGTTGTGGGTGTGTGTGAGTGAGTGAGTGTGTGTGTGTGATTGAGTGTGTGTGGGTGTGTGAGTGTGTGAGTGTGTGTGGGTGTGTGAATGTGTGAGTGTGTGAGTGTGTGTGAGTGAGTGTATGTGTGTGTGAGTGTGTGAGTGAGTGTGTGTGGGTGTGTGAGTGTGTGGGGGTGTGTGTGGGTGTGTGAGTGTGTGAGTGTGTGTGTGAGTGAGTGAGTGAGTGTGTATGTGTGTGTGAGTGAGTGTGGGTGTGTGAGTGAGTGTGTATATGTGTTGGCCAAAGTCAGCCAGCCTAGGTGTCATCCCTCAGGGCTCTCACCTTGGTCTGTACCTTCAGTTTGTTTTGTTCTGTTCTTGAGGCAGGCTCTTTCTCTTTCACTAGAAGCTGTGGCCAGCTTCCCCACAGAGTCCATCTGTCTGCTTGCCTGGCCCTGGGATTGCATGCACATGCCATTATGTGTGGCTTCCATGTGGTACCAGGGATCAAACCCAGACATTTTTACTACAGTGGATGCTCTTCAGGGGCTGAGCTGCCTCCCCGACTCCTCTTGCTGCCTTTCCACTGTCATTGCCATAAACTTGGATGCCACTGACCTGAGATCAGACGCCACCCAAAGAAAGGGATCCCACAATTCTGAGGGCTATGGGTGCCCAAGAAGCTTCGGGGACTATGCCAGCCCCCTTTTCCAGTGAAGAAGCAGGAGTTAAGGTGCAAAGTAGAGGTGCTGCCCTGCACTCACCCCTGGGAGACATGACCACCACCCCCACTGGTCAAACACAGTGAGGTCCTGCACTCAGATATCTGAGGTAAGCTGATGGAATCCTGTCAGGAGCAACTTTGTCCATGCCTGACTTTGTTGTCACAGTGAGAGGTTGACCTGGACCCCAGGAACTCTGCTCAGTTGCTCAATGGGTGACCCTACCACCCCTGCCCAGGAGCTGTCTCCCCAGTCAGACTCAAGCATTTGAGTCCAACTCTGAGGCTAAAGCAGCATGATCAGTGAGTTCTGGGGCTGAATGCTGTGGTCATGGCCTTCCTTCGGGGCTCGGGCAGATCACAGAGATCCAAAGGAGGCAGCCTGGAGATGTTCTCTCGGTAGAGTGAGCTTGCCTGCTGTGCTCAGGCCCTGGTTCAGTCCCCAGCCAGCACTGCATAACCCTGCTTTCTGGAGGTGAAGGCAAGAGGACCAGTAGAGTTCCAAGATCAGCCTCAGCCACATAGGGAGTTTCAGATCAACCTGGCTCCTCCTGAGACTCCAAAAGCTGCCCAAGGGCTCATCAGGTAGACAGGAGGTGAAGGCGCCCAGTAGGAGAGTCAAAGGCTGGCAAAGCTGCATTGCCAGCTCAGTAGGGGTCGGGCCTTTGTCAGTCTGTTTCACCTAGGTCTTATGAAGGACCTAGGTCTAAACCCTTGCTCAGTTTCTCCAGGGTACACTTTCTCCTGAAGGACAGGTGTCCAACGAGTCCCTGTGACTTTGCAAGAACAATTAAACTTGGTGAGTAAGCCTATTGAATGCTAAAAAATGAGTCTGGCAAGAAAAACAAAAGTCAAATTTGGAATTATTTTTTTCTTGCCAAAGAAGAAGTCAAAAGCAATATTTCAACCCCAAACCTGGCCAGTCTGGTGATGCTGGCCATCTCCTCTTTGGATGCTGTAACACATATATTCGACACAGGTAAATCTATCAACACTAAGTGGAAATTTAAATGTTTATCCTTGTCAAGGAACAGAACCAGATCCCTGCCTGGCCCAGCTTCAGCGTTAAATCTATCATCCTTTCTTTTGCTTTCCTGTTTTCCTGAGACAAGTTCTTTCCCTGGTTGTGCTAGAGCTCCATAGCTCCATATGTAGACTACACTAGGCTCAACCTTAAAAAAAAAAAAAAATCCATCTCTACTATGGGAGCACATTTCCCATGGATACTACCTTAGCCTAGAGGCAGGAGAGAGGGCCTAGACCCTACTCCAAATGACTTGACAGATTTTGATGATCCCTCCTGGAAGGCATCACCCTCCCTGTGGAGTGGAGGTGGAGTGGGACTGGAGGGGTGGCCAGGGGGGATGGGAGGGAGGGAGGGAAAGAGGGAGGGAGAGATGGAGGGTGAGGGAACTGGGATGGATATGTAAAATGGAAAAAATAATAAAAATATAAAAACATCCACCTCCCTCTGTCTCCCAAGTATAGTGTGTACCTCAAGCCCAGATAAGGGTTAAATTTCTAAAACCTTGAAGTCTAGAACCTGTCAGGGGAACTGGGAAGAGGCTTTGTGATTAAGAGCCAATATTGGGCCTAGAGAGATGGCTCAGGCTGCTCTTCCACAGGTCCTGAGTTCAAATCCCAGCAACCACATGGTGGCTCACAACCACCTGTAATGATCCTGCTGTCTTCCTCTGACCTCAGGGTATACATAATAAACAAATGATTTTTTCTCTTTTTTAATTA